TAATAAATGAACGATATATTCTTAAAAAAAAATGTTGATTGTATAGATAAAAATATCTAATAATATAATTTGCCCTTTTTTTTTTATATGATTTTTTTAATTTTTTCTGATTATTTTAATTTGATTAAAAAAAATTATTTAAGATAATTTCTAAAATTTTTTATAACTTTGTGAGAATAAAAATATAATAATTATAATTTAAATATAATATTTTATTTTATTAAATTTTTAATTTATTTTATATTTTAGTGAAATAAATTAATCTCAACCATCATAATAATAAAGGAGGCAATACTATAGTCCCCTGGCAAGTTCACACGGTATTGTTTGGAAAGTTGGTTAATTTTTTAGTTTTTTAAATTTTTTTACTATTTTAGCTTTGGGCTAAAAAATAGTTTGTAAAGAGCTTTTTGAATTTTTGACTTTTTTGGTAAGAGAAGAGTGTAATGATTATGAGTTAGATGTGATATTTTATTTTTTGTGGCTAAAATAGCTTATTTTGTCTTTTGTGACTAAAATAGCTAAAAAACCTAAAATAACTCTTCCCAAACGGAACCATACTATTCTAATTTTATTTTTATTGATTAAAATACGTTAATTTTAATATTTTATTGATTTTAAAAAGATGATACGACACATGTAATGTAATAAATAATGTAAAATATTAGACTACCCAGGATTGTTTTGAAAAATGTAAATTGAGTTTTTTCTTATTACGAAACAACGGTTAAAATATAGAGAGATGACCTTGTTTGGTTTGATTTTGAGGGATAAATTTTTAAAAAATATTTTTAAAAAAGAGTTTAGAAATTTTTGTAAGTTGTTTAGTTATATATTTTGAAAATAATTTTAGAGTTTGGGAGTTTGAGATGATTTGATATTTTGTTATAATTGATTAGATATATGTGAGAGAAAAAATGATTGAAAAGAAGAGAGGAGAGAGAAAAAGTAATTTTGGAAATTTTTTGAAAAAAATTACAAACCAAACAAAATTTTCAAAAATTTTCTCCAAAAACTTTTTCTCAAAGCCAAACCAAACAAGGCCATTTTGGAAATGTGATTTAAGATTTCGTTGGACAATCATGGCTGAGATTAAATTAATCATTAAAAGATAAAATAAATTAAAAAATTAATAAGATAAAATGTCACATCTAAATTACAATTATTTTAATTTTTTTTCATAAAAGTCCAAAAAAATTGAAAAGACAACACAAATAAACTTTTTAATTTCAACCCAAATATATATATATATATATATATATATATATTTTTCTTTTCCCCTTATCACCAGCCCCACGTGTGTGGGAGGACTGGTGGGGGTGAGGGTTTGAGGGGTCTCAATCACAACCCTTTATTTACCAAATTACTATGGGCGTCATTAGAATTTTGTGGAAATAATCTATATCTATACTATATATTAAGCAAAAAAGAGTTTTTAATCCCAAGTCTTGTGGGAGTTCCAATCTCCTAATCTAAATTTTCTGATTTTTTTTAAAAAAAATAAATCTTAACATTTATTAACTTTTCCCAACTCCCAAGTCTTACCCTCATAATAACACTTTAATGCATTAAGAACAAGCATAAAAAAAAATCTTTGAAATCCAACAAATAAGAATTCCTTGAAAAGTCCCAACACATATGATTATTATCCCTCAATAATAACACTTTAATGCATTAAGAACAAACATAAAAAAAATTTCTTAAAAAGTCAAGCACATATGATTATTATCAAAATATTAAACTTTAATATAATATAATATAAAAAATAAAGACATTTAATTCTTTAAAAAGTCCAACACATATGATTATTATCAAAATAAATTGGGGTTTTGAAAATAGAAGATGGGAGTATTATTGAAATGGAGATGTATATTAAGAGCATTTTTATTTTTGATGTGTGCACTGAGAAAGTGTTCATTAAATGTATACCATGAGAACATTTAATGTCTTAAAATAGAATTACCCATTGCTAAGATGTGTTTTTGGACATTTTTGAAAATGAAAAGTAACTTGGACTCATAAGTCGTATGACATAAATATGTGATTTATGTGAATGTATCAGCGTTGGCCATCTATAAATTGCTAATCTTTTAGTCATTATTCATGGTTGGTTTAGTGTATCTCTACTGGGCTGTGGCTCACCCTATATGGGAATATCATTTTCAGGTACAGGTAACATGCCACCTCCAAGGACATAGCTTGGGAGGCTAGAGGCGGGCACACTTTTGTCGTTTTTTTTTTGATGTATTACATGTAAATTCAAGCCAAGGGCTTAATGTGTAAAGTTAGTACTCTTTTGTTGTAAGCAAGTGTTAACTTGGAAAGCTGTAAGCCTTTAGGGCATTTGCTTTTGTCGTTAACATGTAATACTTTTTGTAATGAAACTCTGATAAATAGAAGAATGTGGAACTTTTATATATCAATGCATGTCTATATTGATGGGTTTAATGTTGTTATTTTGAGAGTGTTACAACTTCTCTCATACACTATAGTTAGTGATGAGATTGTTAAATTATTTTTATAAAAAATCTAAAAAAATAATTTGTATGTTAAAAAAATATTTAAAACAAATATAAATTATTATTAAATCTATCTATCTATATATTATATAAGTAAAAAAGGATTTGTAACCACAGGTCTTGTGGGAGCACCAATATCTCAAACTAAAATTTGTAATTTTTTTTTATTTTAAATAATTAAAAAAATCTTTTATTGCTCTCATTCAAGAATTTTTTTTTTAATATCTCTTAATTTGTGACTTTCAAATGGAAAGCATATCAAATATATAAAATAAAAAATAGAAAGTATACTAATCCATTTCAAAATTTAAATTTGAGGGGCACTAAATATAGAAAGCATTCCATTAATTTAAATTTGAAGCTTTCTAAGAGCTCCAATATCTCAATCTTAATTTTCTAATTTTTTTGATTATTTTTAAAAAAATAAACTTTAGCATTTATTGATTTCTCCCAAACCACAAACCTTTTTGACTTCTCTCATACCTACTACTATATCATTTTCAACTCCTCCCATACATTATGGTTAATGATTGGATTGTTAAATTATTTTTATAAAAAAAATTGAAAAATAATTAATATATTAAAAAAATATCTAAAACAAATATAAATTCTTATTAAATCTATCTATCTATCTATCTATCTATCTATCTATCTATCTATCTATCTATCTATCTATCTATCTATCTATCTATCTATCTATCTATCTATCTATCTATCTATCTATCTATCTATCTATCTATCTATCTATCTATCTATCTATCTATCTATCTATCTATCTATCTATCTATCTATCTATCTATCTATCTATCTATCTATCTATCTATCTATCTATCTATCTATCTATCTATCTATCTATCTATCTATCTATCTATCTATCTATCTATCTATCTATCTATCTATCTATCTATCTATCTATCTATCTATCTATCTATCTATCTATCTATCTATCTATCTATCTATCTATCTATCTATCTATCTATCTATCTATCTATCTATCTATCTATCTATCTATCTATCTATCTATCTATCTATCTATCTATCTATCTATCTATCTATCTATCTATCTATCTATCTATCTATCTATCTATCTATCTATCTATCTATCTATCTATCTATCTATCTATCTATCTATCTATCTATCTATCTATCTATCTATCTATCTATCTATCTATCTATCTATCTATCTATCTATCTATCTATCTATCTATCTATCTATCTATCTATCTATCTATCTATCTATCTATCTATCTATCTATCTATCTATCTATCTATCTATCTATCTATCTATCTATCTATCTATCTATCTATCTATCTATCTATCTATCTATCTATCTATCTATCTATCTATCTATCTATCTATCTATCTATCTATCTATCTATCTATCTATCTATCTATCTATCTATCTATCTATCTATCTATCTATCTATCTATCTATCTATCTATCTATCTATCTATCTATCTATCTATCTATCTATCTATCTATCTATCTATCTATCTATCTATCTATTATATAAGTAAAAGGAGTTTCTAACCACAAGTCTTGATTAAAAAATTTATTTCAAACTAAAATTTCTAATTTTTTGATTTTAAGTAATTAAAAAAAAAATCCTCTATAGCTCTCATTCAAGCAATATATATATATATTTAGTATCTCTAGATTTATGACTTTCAAATGAAAAATATATCAAATATATAAAATAAAAAATATAAAGTATACTAATCCATTTCAAATTTTAAATTTGAGGGGCACTAAGTATAGAAAGCATTCCATTAATTTAAATTTAAAATTATAATTATTTATCCCATAATATATAAGTTTTAAATAATGATTTATTCT